ACGGCAACTTTGTAGCTTTGGAGCTTTTTATCTCGCTACAGTTTGCTTTGTGAGTCATCAGATTAGCTTTGGCCCAGGGTTGAGTTGCGTAGCGCCGTTGTAGCTTTGTAGCTTCATGCCCCCCCCCTCCTCTTCGTTCATCCTACCCACTTTTCCACTATTTACCTCCCTTCTTCACTCTTCACTCCCCTCCCTACCTTTTACCTTTTACCCCCTCCTTCACTCCCCCTTCTCCACTTTCACTCACCCTCCACACAGCCCATACCCCCACCCCCCACAGCCCCATACCCCCCCCCACAGACCATACCCCCACAGACCATACCACCCACAGCCCATACCCCCCACAGCCCATACACCCCCCACACAGCCATACCCCCTACACAGCTCATACCCCACACAGCCCATTCCCCTCTACAGCCCATACCCCAACACAGCCCATATCCCCTAACACAGCCCATACCCCAACATAGCCCATATCTCCCACATAGCCCATACCCCCAGCCCATACCCCACACACCCATACCCCACACACACCATTCCCCCTACAGTCCACCCCTACAGTCCATACCCCTACAGTCCATACCCCCTACAGTCCATACCCCCTACAGTCCATACCCCCACACACAGCCCATACGCCCCTCCCCCCATAGCCCATACCCCCGCCAAGGCACCATCGACGCAGAAAAGATGACAGACAGATAGCGGCTCCCCCCCTCCCCCCCTCCCCCTTAGGCTTTTCTATAGCTTCCTTCCTTGTCGCTGTTATGTAAGTATTAGCGTCGTCTTCATCGCGTTCTCCTACCTATTCGTTTCTTGTTATTGATTTATTTATGCGCGTTTTCTTTTATTTGTTTATTTTTATTTTATTTTATTTTATTTTATTTACCTTTTTCGCCTAGTGTGTGCGGGGGGGGGGTAGATATCGATGAAAATCAATGGTAATGGGATACATTATGGAAATGGTGTATTTCTTCGCTTGTCTTCAAGGAAAAATATTTTATTAACACCCTTGTGATACACTGAAAATGTATTATTTATAAAGATCTAATTGCTTTATTGTATTTCCATCTTTATTTTACTCTTCATGATTTTTTTTCTTTTATTTAGCTTTAGTACTGCTCTTCGTGATTTTTTAAAATTTAGATCTAACTGCCTTATTTTCTTTCTATGTTTATATTGCTCTTCACGATTTTTTTTCTTTTTTTAGTTCTCATTACCTTATTTTATTTCCATCTTTACTGCTCTTCGTTATTTTTTTGTTATTTAGGTCTAACTGCCTTATTTTCTTTCCATCTGTATACTGCTCTTCGTGATTTTTTAAAAATTTTATTATTTAGTTCTAATTGCTTAATCTTATTTCTATTTTTACACAACTCTTGGTGATCAATCTTTCAGCCCAGAGTCGCCGGAGGACGCGCTGTAATTTCTATCACCCGAATGGCACCCGAGCGGACACTTACAATCTCTGCTGGGCCGGGTGCTGGAGGGCGACGGAGAAGGGAGGGAGGGAGAGGAAGGAAGGGAAAGGAAGGGAGGGAAGGAGGGAGAGAGAGGAAGGGGATGGAGGGTTGAGGAGGAAGGGGGGAGGGAGAGGAGGGAAGGGAAGGGGAAGGGGGGGGAGAGAGGAAGGAGAAGGGAGGGGAGGGAGAGGAGAGGGAGGGGAGGGGAGGGAGAGGAAGGAAGGAAGGAGGGGAGGGGAGGGGAGAGACACGGACCAGCGCCGACGGAGAGGAACGGGGCGCGGAGAAGGGAGAGACAGGGAGAGTGATGAGCAGTGAGGGGGCAGAGAGACTGCGAGACGAGCGAGGGGTGAGGGCGGGGGGGGGACCTGGAGAGGGGGCGAGAGGAAGGAGATGAGGTCAGGGTCCCACAGATAACGAGGGGAGCCAGCAAGACGGGAGTAAGAGGGAGCGGAGGCGAACCGGAGGAAGGGACGGGAAAAGAACAACTATGAAACGAGGAGCAGGGGGGGGGAGGCGAGGGAGGAAGGAGAGAGAGAGAGAGAGGAGGGGAGAGGGAAGGAGAGCGGAGAGGAGAAGGGGGAACAGTAGAAGAAGGCTGAGAGAGGTGTGAGCAGGGGGAGGGAGAGAAAGAGAGAGGGCCGAGGAGGAGAAGGAGGAGAGAGGGGAACGGGCGAGGGGAGGGAAGTCTCGAGGGCCTGCCTTCTCCTTCCCCTCTACCTGCCTTCCAAGCCGGAGCTTTCGCGAGAGGATGGTGAAGGAGGACCGGAGGAGGCGGACGCTCGTAAAACATACACTGACTAAAGAGTACTCGGTAACATCGCATCCTCGCATCTCCTGTCCAACTTACAATATCTACCTCTCATCACTATTATCGCTTGCGGATCTATCAGACCACTCGTGCTACTTGCTCTACACCTCATAGCCGTACCAAGGTGCCTAGTGCGTCACGGCCGAAAAAGAGGAAGGAGGAATAGTCTGCCCCCACGAGCAGAGGGCCCGAGGCTATGGGCACATCTCTGCGGCGAGACAATACAGCTGAAGCCCACTGCACCGTCCTGACACGAACGAATCACTTCGGGGAGCGCACACCGCGTAGCGGAGGCGCGAGAGATGGCAAAGAGTAGCATAGAGGGAGGGGAGGGGAGAGGAAGGAGAGAGGAGGGGCCGGCGGACGAGGGGAGGGAGGAAGGAGGAGAGGAGGAGGAAGGGAGGAGGAAGGAGAGAGGGAGGGGGGGGAGAGGGAAAGGAGAAGACGGGAGGGAAGAGGAGGAGCGAGAGAGGGAGAGGAAGGGAGAGAAGAGAGAAGAGGGAGGGAAGGAAGGAAGAAAGAAGAGAGGCGAGAGGGAGGGGGGGAGGGAAGGGAGAAGGGACGGGAGGAGAGATTGAGAGAAACAAGAGAGAGGGGTGGGACGGGGAGAGGATGAAAGGGCCGAGCGGACCGAGAGGATTGAGAGGGAAAAGCAAGAGAGAGTTGTCGTGAAGAAGGAGAGAGAGATGAGGGAGAGAGAGGAGAGAGAGGGAGGGAGATTAGAGAGAGAGGGAGAGATGGAGTGAATAAGACTGGGTAATATCGACGTACTCAGACGTGGGCGGGATGGGAACACACGCACTGTCCGCCGGGAAGCGGAGTGGCGGGAGAGCGGGGGGGGGGGAGGGGGGCGGAGGGGTGGGGGGATTTCTACAAGGTCGCTAGTCGGTGTGTACTAGGAACTGGTAATATCGACGTACTCCACGTGGGATGGGAGACACACGTCACTGTCCGCCGGGAAAAGCGGGTGGCGGGAGAGCGGGGGGGGGGCGGGGGATCGGGATGGTGGGGGATTTCTACAAAGGTCGCTAGTCGGTGTACTAGGACGCTCTTCCTCAGCCTTGATATACTTCTTTTTTTTCTTTTTCCTCAAACTAAGGGTTCTCTCTCTCTCTCTCTCTCTCTCTCTCTCTCTCTTCTTCTCTTCTCTCTCTCTCTCTCTCTCTCTCTCTCTCTCTCTCTCTTCTCTCTCTCGCTCTCCTCTCTCCTCTCTTCCTCTTCCTCCTTCTCTCCCTCTCTCCATCCATTCCCGTCTCCCTCTCTCTCTCTCTCTCTCTCTCTCTCTCTCTCTCTCTCTCTCTCTCTCTCTCTCCTCTCTCCCTCTCTCCTCCTCCCTCTCCCTCTCCCTCCTCCTCCTCCCTCTCTCTCTCCACTCTCTCTCTCCTCTCTCTCTCTCCCTCTCTCTCTCTCTCTCTCTCTCTCTCTCTCTCTCTCTCTCTCTCTCTCTCTCTCTCTCTCTCTCTCTCTCTCTCTCTCTCTCTCTTCTCTCTCTCTCTCTCTCTCTCTCACTCTCACTCTCTCTCTCTCTCACTCTTACTCCCGCTCTCTTTAAATGTTTTATATGTACGTATATATAAGGGAAGCCGTGCAGCGACATATAAGGCAGAGTGAAATGGAAAGAAACATAGATCAGGCAGAATAGCGCGTCCTTCCCACTCAGCTAAGTGCGCTCTCACGGTGGGAGTCCGGGGCGAGGCGCTTCTTCAAACGTCTCTCTCTTTCCCTTTCTCCTTTCTCTCCTCTCCCTCTCTCCCTCCTTCCCTCTCTCTCTCTCTCTCCTCTCTCTCTCTCTCTCTCTCTCTCTCTCTCTCTCTCTCTCTCTCTCTCTCTCTCTCTCTCCTCTCTCTCTCTCTCTCTCTCTCTCTCTCTCTCTCTCTCCTCTCTCCTCTCTCCCTCTCTCCCTCTCTCCCTCTCCCTCTCCCTCTCCCTCCTCTCCCTCTCCCTCTCCCTCCCTCCCTCCTCCCTCCCTCCCTCTATCCCCCTCTCTATATCTACTATCTATCTATTTATCTATCTATGCACCAAATATCCCTTATTGTCGTTTTCTTTTAACACATCTACATAAACTTCCTCTCATCTCTGTGTTCATTCGTTACTCTCCTTCGCATTCAGTTGTTTATCAGCACGTTTGTTTTTATGTCGTTTCCATTTTGATTTTGGTTTCCAGTGTGTTATCTGTCCCAGAGCGCCAGGGGTCAGTTCGAACGATTTTTTTTTTTTTTCGTCTTTTATTTTCCTCTTCGTCTCTTGTCATAGCAGCTGCCCTTCTTTGTTTCGATCCTCTGTCGCCCTCCAATCTGTCCCGTGTCCCTTTTCCCTGTTTCCCTCTCCCTTCTTTTTGCCCCCTGTTTGCTTATCTCCATTATCGGGAGAGATTCATTTATTACCATTTCACCGATCGCTGGTTGACAGACAGATGGGGAGGTGGTGGAGGGGGAAGGGGAGGGGGGAGGAGAAGAGAAAAGAGAGGAGGAGGAGGAGGAGGAGGAGAGGGGGAGGGAGGGGAGGGGGAGGGGAGAGGAAGGGAGGAGAGAATGGGAGGGGAGGAGAAGGGGGAGGAGGAGAGGAGGAGGAGAGGAAAAAAGAGTAGGAGGGAGGAGAGGAGAGAAGGGGATGGGTAAGAGCAGGAGAAAGAGAGGGGAGGAGAGGAGAGGAAGAGAACGGGAGGAAGGGGAGGGGGAAGGAGGAAGGAAGATGAGAGAAGGGGGAGGGGGAAGAGGCGGAGGAGGAGGAGGAGGAAGGAGGAAGAGGTGTGGTTCGACGACGGATGGCGGATGCACGATAAGATGTACTCCTGCTGGGTGCTTTGATGTGAAGATGGTGTGTGACGAGGGGAGGGATAGAGAGAGGAGAAGAGGGGAAAGGGAGGTTAATGGAAGAGAGAGAGATTTGGGAGAATGGTGGGGAGGGAAGGACAAAGGAGCAAGCATGTGTGTAGAGGGAGGGAGAGAGAGAGAGAAGAGAGAGAGGAGAGAGAGAGAGAGAGAGAGAGAGAGAGAGAGAGAGAGAGAGAGAGAGAGAGAGAGAGAGAGAGAGAGCAAAAAGAAAGGACATAGACACACGCACCAAAGCACATACAAAGAAAAAGAGAAGAAAGCGACGAACGAAGAGAAGAGAGAAATGGAAGAAAAAAAAAGACCAGAAACGGAGAATTAACGATAAAAAAGCATACGACGCCATGATCAGTCTGTGAAATAGGAGACGACATGTGTGCTTGCGTTTTGTGCGTGCGCCGCGACCCTTCCTTTATGGATGGCCTCCCCCCCCCCCCTTTTCCTTCGTTACGGGCGCCTTCCTCCGCTTTAGCATAAACCCTTTCCGCTCCCGTGCGTTATGGAGGAATTGGCAATCGTTTACGTTTGAGACTCTCGGCAAATTTTGAGGGAAAATTTTTGGAGTTCCCGTATTAGGATGACGGAGCAAATCGATAAGTACGTGAGTAAGATGGTGTTTGTTGTCTCAGGTTTTCCTTTTGATATCGTTTTGTTGTTGTTATTATTATTATTTGTTTTTTTATTTATATTTATATATATATTTTTTTTTGGGGGGGGGGGCGCTGTTGGGGAGTTTGTGGATGAGAATGAGGGACTAAATTATACATATTCAAGTAAGCGGATGAATAAATATCACAAATTCTCTCTATTTCTCATTTTTTATCGTTTTTGTTTGTTTCTTCATTTAAGGGAATATTTTAGAGTTCGTTTATTAGGACGAGGAGCCAAATCCATAAATACTTCATAAAACGGATGAATAAACAATCTACCCCTCCCCCCCGCTTTTTTTCTTTCGTTTCATTCATTTATTTCCTTTATTTGTCCTTCCACCTTTCTCAGGATCCCGATGAAACATTTTTTTCGTTGCCTTATCCGACCGACATCCAATCTTGTAACTCAATTATTTACGGAACAGTCGGCGTCCCTCTTGTCTTTTTCACCCTTCGTAACTTTTGCCTTCGCTGTGGTTGGCTTGTTATTGTCATCATTATGATCAGTTTTTTTATTGGTATTTATGATCGATCCATGATAATTATTTTTATATTATTCATTATGATCATTTTTTTTATTAGTATTTATGATCGTTAACATTAGTCATTGTTATTATGATGTTGATGATGACAGAATCAGTAACGATGACAAAAATGATGATCATGATGATGACAATTGTTATAGTTATGATAATGATAATAGTATTAGTAAAGATAATGATGAAATAATGATTGTCATAAAATTGATAAAGATAAGGATAATGATGATATTATTGCTAATGATGATGAAATGGTACTTAGGATGATAACGATAATGATTAGGATTAGGATTAATAGGAATAATGGTAATGATGATAATGATATAATCTTCATTAACATAATTCTGAGTTATTATTATTTCCATGATCATTATCGTCACCGTTATGGTTATGGTTAAATTTAAGGTTATTTCTTTCAATATTGATTATCATTATTATTGATATTGTTGTTGGTGATGATTATTATGGTAATTATATCATTATTATTATTGTTATTATTATTATTATATCATCATCATCATCATTACTGGTATTACCATTATCGTTTATCATTGTTCTTGTTATTGCTTCCATTTTGTTTTTCATTATTAATTATCTTTATTATTTTTTGTTGTTGTTATTGTTATTATTTTTATTATTGTTCTTATTATCATTATTATTTATTGTTATTGTTTTTGTCATTATTATTATTGTTGTTGTTTTGTTATTATTATTATTATGACGATGATATTGATTAAGGTTATGTTGATCATTATGGTGATGATGATAATAATGATGATGATGATGATGATTATATTATCATTATTATTATTAGAATTTTTTGTTATTATTATAATTATTGTTTTTGTTGTTGATATTGTTATTTTTTTGTTTTAGTGATATTGTTATTACTATGATGAAACTGTTTATCTAGCAACTGAGTTCGATCATAAAAACTGTTTATTTGATTCGTGCGTGATATTGCTTTAGCTTAAGGTATTTGTTGTTTCATCGCCGGTGTTATACTGGTTTAATTCTCTGAAATTGGAGCAACCGGAAGCATCAAACGGTCTTTGGAATTTCTTGTAAAGTATTTCATAAATCCAATCATCGTTTTTTTTTTTTTTCCTTTTTTTCTTAATTTTTTCTCTATTAGAATGTTTTCCCTCACTCACTCCCTTCTCCCCCCCCCCCCTGTATCTCTTCCTTACCCCCTTCTTTTCCCCTTCCTTGCCTTCCCTCTCTTTCTCCTTCCTCTCTCCCTCTCTCACCCTTCTCTCCCTTCCTTCTCTCTCATTCCCCTCTCAATACCCTCCTTTCTCCATTCCCCCACGTCCTCCTCTCTCCTTTTTTTCCTCCTCTCTCCATTCCCCCTCTTTAACCTTTATCCATTCCCCCTCTCCTTCATTTATCCTTTCCCCCTCTCCTTCATTTATCCATTCCCCTCTCCTTCATTTTTATCCATTCCCCTTCTCCTTATCCATTCCCCTTCTCCCTCTCAGTTCTCATCCCCTTCCCCTTCTCCTTCTTTCTCCTCTCTCCTCTCCTCCCCTACCCCCTCTCTCTCCCTGCCATTTCTTCCGGCGTTGTCAGTCCTTGCGCCTCCGCCGCGCCCTTGCGAAAGTTCGTCAGGAGTTAGAGGCTGTCGGTGTTGTCATGGCCGCCCTACGCTGATGAATGTTAATGCTGCAAGTTCCCCGTGAAAGTAGTAGCGCCGTTTGCAATTTAGATTAGCTGGTCATATCTCTACCTTACGAGATGATATTAGGAGACGTGTGCGTGTCTTTTTTCTTTTTCTTTTCTTTTCTTTTCGTCCCCCTGCGTCAGGCTGGGCTTTTTTTTTGAGGGGGGGATATCTGGTTAATTTTTCGTTTGTTTGTGTAATTTAGATAAGGTGATTATTATCTCCCTAATTGCATCCATCATTAGGCGACGCGCAGAGGGAGCTCCATCTCCTTGGGTCTGCCTCTTAATTATCTAAGACTTGGCGATATTTGGTGCCAGTCCCACGCCCTCCTCGCATGCTCCGGAATTACCATGCCGCGCGCCCGCTCATCAGAAGGCGATATGGAGCTAATGAGGGTCTCTCAGGTGCTACGCCCACGCTGCTGCACGCCCACGAAAATGTAGCTACAAAGGCTTGTGTCTTGAGTAGGTCAGTGGGCTGTGGACGCCTTGTGGGTGCGGAGGCTGGGAAACGTTCACAAAAAGTCGGCAGTAGAATGGCGGTTGTGATTGGTACAGCGGCTAAGATTCGATTCCTTTGAAGTTTCCTGTTATTATTAATTGGTATTGACATCATTATTATTATCATAATCATTGTTATTATGATTATGATGATGATGATTCTTATTTTTATCATGATTGAAATTATGATTAAAACTAGGATAATTGTTGTTATTGCTATTATTATAATAGTAATAATAATTATTATTATTAATATTATTATAACTATTACTACTACTATTGTTGTTGTTGAAAAAAGAGGAACAGAAAGGAAGAATGAAGGAGGGACAGGCAGATAGACAGAGAGACAGACAGATCAAGGGTATGAGGTAAAGAAAAGAGATACAAGCAGGGAGAGAACGAGAAAAAAAGTCGTAAAAATAGTCTTCTCATATTTAGGCCAAAAAAAACAAACTCTGGAGCCCGACTGTATTCACGCGCCAACCTCTGACCTTCTGTTCCGTACCTAGTGTAAAATTCGCCGTCATGAGACTCGGATATGCAGAAGGGGCGTCATACAACATACTCCAGTGAGAAAAATGAAAATGGGGTCACTCGGGGTAATGGCGAGGCACCCCTACAAAGTGGCGTCGAGAGCGGGAGTGCCACTTTCATATGAGCGTTTTTTTATTATTATTATTATTCTCTTTCTCATGGTGCCTCGTTGTCGTGTTCGGAGCTTTGGCTCGGGTTCGGTCTGTGGAGGTCTCTCTCTTCGCTCTCTCTCTCTCTCTCTCTCTCTCTCTCTCTCTCTCTCTTCTCTCTCTCTCTCTCTCTCTCTCTCTCTCTCTCTCTCTCTCTCTTCTTTCTTTTTTCTTCTTTTTTCTTTGTTTATTGTGTCTTTCTCGCCTTATTGATAAACAACGTTTATCTAATAAGTTTATAGTAAAAAATAAAATCACTGAAATTCGTTTCCGTGAATTATTTTTATTTAATTTTAGAAAAATAAGAAGAAACCCGATATATAAATCCGAATTATATATTTGAATTGTGATTTAACTGAGCCAAAATACAAAATTCATCACAGCTTTTTCTAACTTACATCGGATATTTTATGCAACCGATACAAAGTTTGCATACGGAAAAAGATTCAGTGGTATTAGCTGGTGTGATGAGGCCTTCAATAAGAGTTAATACCTATCCACGGTCCATTCAAAATTAAAAGTGAAATAGCATCATCACTCTTCTTTCAAAAAATAGAAATATGAATTCATGAAAATAGGATATAGATAACGTAAGATAAGCCTGTGTAAGTCAAGTCTCAAGTCTACCCCTCTCTCCAGCTCCCTCCAAAACCCCCATACCTGCTCTTCCTCTTTATGCTGCCCCCCCCACGTTTCCTCCTCACCATATCCCCGGTGGATTGCCCCTCATCCCCCTCCCAGTTCTCTAGAAACCTCTTTCCCTCTCACTTACGACTCCCCTACCCCCTTCCTTCCCTCCCTGAACCTCATTCCCCCTCCCACAACTTCTCCCTACCCCCATACCCCTCCTCTCTTCCCCCTCCTCTCTTGACCCTCCTACCCCCTCTCTCTCCCCTCCCCCTTAAGCCCCTCCCTACCACTCCCTATCCCTCCTCTTGGCCCTCCGACCCCCTCTCTCTCCCCTTCCCCTCTTCCTTAAGCCCTCACCCCTACACTCCTCTCTCACCCCCTCCCATAAGCTTCTCCCCATCCCCACACCCCTTCCCCTCTCCCCTCTCCCTCTCCCTCCTCTCCTCCCCTCCCCCTCCTCTCCTCTTCCTCCCTCCCCCCTTCTTTAAGCCCGGAACCCCCTGATCCCGTCCTGATTGGTCCAGCCTCCCTCCGGACTGGAAAGTTGGGATAATTCCGAATGTTCGTAACAACGATAATAAACATCAGAAGTTTCGAAGAAGCCGCGGCGCTCACACGGTCGCCTTGTTCTTGTCTCGGAGGGAGCTTGACCGCTGATTGGCAGAAGGGCGATGTGTTTGTTAATGTGTGTGTGTGTGTGTGTGTGTGTGTGTGTGTGTGTGTTGTGTGGTGTGTGTGTGTGTGTGTGTGTGTGTGTGTGTGGGTGTGTGTGTGTTTGTTAATGTGTGTGTGTGGGGGGGAGAGGTGAGAGTGTGTTTGTTTGTATTTATAAATGGTTATGGTATTGTGCGTATGTTCGTTCTGTGGAAATTTAGAAATTTACTTAATCCGTTATTCATAAGCTCAGGAGCATTGTCCTTATTCTTGGTCGGATTAGTTTTATTATAGCAGACCCACGGAAATCCCTCAATTTAGACTCATCGAAGGTATATCCGTATTAAAGTATAATTGCTCTTGTGAACGAGCGCTGTCAGTCGGGATGCATTTTGTTAATAGATCATGCTGACATATGACCTGCGCTGATTTTTTTCATGAGACAAGCACCCTGTGAACGCGTGTTCCTGTTGCGTCAGCTGATTTTGTCACATAAATTTTCCTGCAGATTGATCTTGTCGCAGGAATTAAAAGAAAGAATTTTTCGTTCGGTTTCTCTCTTGCAAACAGGCTGTGTTATTTACGGTTGAACCTTCCGCGCTCCTCTGCTGTCGCTTTCGAAGTGGAACAAAAATATACAAAAGAAGATCAGTGTACTGTTTGCAGAAAGTTTTAGTTGTAGTCTTTTTATTTGTAATGACTTGCATAATGACATATTCATTACAAAAGTCGAATTCCTTTTTATTTGTTCTTCCAATTCTTACTTTCCCCTTCCTTACCATTTGTTTCCTCCCACGCACTACGGCAATCGGCTTTATCTCATTTCTCTCGTGTTATCTCTTCTTCTTGGTATCCCTTTTTTCTTTTCTTCTCACCTCCTCCCCTCTTTCCCCTTTTTATTTGTCTCTTCCTCCCCTTCTTCATTAGAACCTTGTGCTTGACATGTGCTGTATTTATGAATCAGAATCGCATAAATTTCCGTCCGTCAAGTGAAGCTCCCTTGCCGAGTCGTTGTCATGACAACCCTTCAAGGCGTTGCTCGGGCTCGGCGGAGGGAAGCGCCGGGGATGCCGAGGAACTCTGTGAATGAGTGAATGAGTCAGTCAGTGAGTGGGTGGGTCTGTCGGTCGATCGGTCGGTCGGTGGGGCGGTCGGTCGGTCGGTGTGTATGTGAGTGAGTGAATGAACAAGTGAGATTGAGACAAGAGGCCAAGATAATGCAAACCTCCCCCCCCCAAAAAAAAAAAAAAAAAAATGGTGGTACACCCTACCCCCACCCCACACACACTCCTTCCCACCAATACCCGCATAACCCTCACCTTACCCCACCCTAGAGTACCCACACCCACTCTCCCCCCCACCGCCCTAAAGGATGCACACCCCACCCACTCCCCCACAGAGGACGCCCATCGTACCCGCACCCTCCTATCCACCCGCCACACGAGATCCACACCCTTCTTGGGATTCTCCGAGGTAAATGATACAATTAAAGAAATTATTACAGGGATCAACTTGGCTATTGTGATGAAGATTATCAGCGTTGTGTGATTTTATGTAATTAACAAGCGGGGAAGTACGTAAATAATTTGCTCCTTTCGCGAACATCAGATGAAGTCAAATATATATAAGATTGATTTATGAATTAGAACCATTGATGAATAGTTTAAAGAAAGCCCGATTTACTAACTCATAAACACAATTACAAACAAACACGCATACATAAACAGACGCAAGAGGACAAAGCACTCTTTAAATCTGTTATTTCCGGATTTTGAATCATCTCTTTCACCTTTTCTAGCAATTCATCATCATCTGCCTCCATTCTTCCCACTTCCGAGTCTCCACAATTTCCCTCGTTGCGTAGGGAAGAAAAGAGGGGAAAAGGGGAAGAAAAGGGAGGAAAGATACCGACCCGGTTAGCCCTTCCGTAACAAAGAACATTTCCGGCCGCTTACCCTTTCGTAAAGTAGCCAGGTAGAAGAGGGGGAAAAAAAGAGGGGAGATAAGGCCAAGGGGGAGGAGAGAGGGGATTTTACGGCGCGCGGCTCAGGCTCGTAGGCTCGGAAATGCTCGCGATGAACCGGAAAATAGTAAGACGCGCGGAAACATCGCTCGGTGTCGCGGGAAGTGTTTTTTTTTTTTAATACCGTTCGGGTGTGTTGAGGTTGTGATCTCTATGTTTGGTTTTCTTTTTTTTTCTTTTTGTTTGTCTCTCTCTCTCTCTCTCTCTCTCTCTCTCTCTCTCTCTCTCTCTCTCTCTCTCTCTCTCTCTCTCTCTCTCTCTCTCTCCTCTCTCTCTCTCTCTCTCTCCTCTCTCTCTACCTCTCTCTCTATCCTCTCTCTCTATACCTCTTTCTCTCTATACCTCTTTCTCTCTATACCTCTCTCTCTCTATACCTCTCTACCTCTCTCTCTCTCCGTCTCCTGTATTACACTCCCTATTCCATCTTTTCATCTTTCCCCCTCTGTCTATTTATCTCTCTCCCTTTCCCCTCCCCCTCACCTTACCTTCCTTCCCTCCCTCCACCTCCTCACACCTCCCGCCGGCCTTCCTCCCCCTCCCCATACTTCCCGCCATCCCTCCCTCCTTCCATCCCCCTCTTCCCTACCTCCCTCCCCATCCCCCCTCCTCCTACCTCCCTCACTCCCTCCCCCATCTCCCTCTCTTTGTTCTCCCTTTTCACGTAAACAGCGCGTGAATCGCCTCTTTCAAAAGGGCGCGTGTTTACTTGACGGGGCGCCCTGTTTACCGTAATCCTCCAGGGAAGACGAGGCCGGGGTCAAGACGGCAGTACCCGCGATGATTTAAGGTCGACGTCCTGTGATAAATGAGGGAAATCGGATAAGAGAGAGAGAATGAGTGAGTGAAGTGAGAGAGAGAGAGAGAGTGTGAGAGAGAGAGAAGAGAGAGAGAGAGAGAGAGAGAGAGAGTGAGAGAGAGTGGAGAGAGTGTGGAGAGAGAGAGAGAGAGAGAAGAGAGGAGAGGAGAGAGTGAGAGAGAGAGAGAGAGAGAGAGAGAGATGAGAGAGGAGAGTGAGTGAGTGGGTGGTGGAGAGCGAGAGAGAGAGAGAGAAGAGAGTGAGAGAGAGAGAGAGAGTGAGTGGGGTGGTGGAGAGAGGAGAGAGAGAGAGAGAGAGAGAGAGAGAGAGAGAGTGAGAGAGGAGAGAGGAGAGAGAGAGAGAGAGAGATTGAGATAGAGAGAGAGAGACAGGGATTGAGAGAGAGAGACAAGATGAGAGAGAGAGAGAGACAGGGATTGAGAGGAGAGAGAGACAGGATGAGAGAGAGAGAGAGACGGGATTGAGAGGGAGAGAGAGCAGGGATTTAGAGAGAGAGAGAGACAGGGATTGAGAGGGATTGAGAGAGAGGGGGGTGCAGAGAGAAAGAGAGAGAGACCGTTTACGAGTGCCCCAGTCCGGGTGCCAGAGAGGACTAGTTTGTTTTAACTTGGCTTTACTGGCCGCGGGAAGTTCGGGGAATCTGCCACCGTCCAGTCATGTCAGACACGTGACTGCGGATTCTTGGGGAAGTGTTTCGGGAGGGCCGGCGGCGCGGGAGAGGCGCGGGTGTGTCGGCTGTTCAGGTTGCTTCTCGGGGAATTGTGTTGCGGAATGTCCAGTGGATGCGCTATTTGTGTATGAGTTGTGTATATGTATGTTTATGTATAGATGGATGGATAGAGTGATTGATAGTTCGATAGGTAGGTAGTGGTGGTAGATAGGTAGACATACATATATACTGAATAATTTATGTGTATTTCTGAGTGCGTGGGAGGCAAGAGAGACATAGATGCTCGTTTCTACACGCGCGTGAGCAGCACACACACACACACACACACACACACCACACACACACACACACACACACACACACACACACACACACACACACACACACACACACACACACACAGGTGACATCCATATCAAACAAAAATGTATCAATCATTTATCTGAATCCGAAAATGAATAAAGACATCAGAAATTTGGCCAAACAGACCCACGACCCAACCACACATCACGTTCTCACTCACACGTCACTCGAACTCAGAATCGGAGGACAGGGAAGCAGAGCAGATGTAGAGTGCGAGTGAGTCAGGCTGGAGGTGCAAGTTTTGGGGGCAGTGCGAGAGGTGAGTTCTAAGTGGTGGTACGGCAGGTCTCTTTAAGGTGGCGCGACTGAAGCGAGCTGCTCTCTCTCTCTCTTTAGCTCTCTCTCTCTCTTTAGCTCTCTCTCTCTCTCTCTCTCTCTCTCTCTCTCTCTCTCTCTCTCTCTCTCTCTCTCTCTCTCTCTCTCTCTCTCTCTCTCTCTCTCTCTCTCTCTCTTCTCTCTCTCTCTCTCTCTCTCTCTCTCTTTCCCTCTCTCCCTCTCTCCCCCTTGCTCTCGTCGTTTTCTCTATCTTTCTCTTCTTTCCTTCTCTCTCTGTCTCTTTTCTGGCTCTCTCCTTTCCCTCTCTCCTCTCTCTCCTCTCTCTCTCTCTCTCTCTCTCTCTCTCTCTCTCTCTCTCTTCTCTCTCTCTCTCTCTCTCTCTCTCTCTCTCTCTCTCTCCCTTCGCTCCCCAGACCCCGAAAGCAAGCATGCAGGAACATACCTCTCCGACTCTCATTATATTTCCCTTGTAGCATACTTCACGCGCGTTGCTGCTCCCTGGATTGGTGCCCTCAGGTGGCGGCGTGGGGGCGATGTCGAAGATAGTGCGATGGCTGGATCTCTTTTCCTTTTTCGAATCTTCCTTGCGATAAGGTCTCTTTTGCCTCTTGTCTTTCTTCCTCTTTTCCTCCCTCTCTTTCTCTGTTTGTCTGCCTCTCTCTTTCTCTGTTTGTCTGTCTCGTCTCTCTCTTTCTCTGGTTGTCTGTCCCGTCTCTCTCTTTCTCTGTTTCTCTCTCTCTCTCTCTCTCTCTCTCTCTCTCTTCTCTCTCTCTCTCTCTCTCTCTCTCTCTCTCTCTCTCTCTCTCTCTCTCTCTCTCTCTCTCTCACACACACACACACACACACACATGTATTATCTTCCGTTTGTCCCAGCCGGAGATATAACATCCGCTTCTCTCTCTTTTCGCCCGCTCGTTAGAATCCTCTCGTTGTTATCCACACGTTATCACCCTGGGCCAAGCATCTCCATAGCCGGCATCTTTCCAATTTGCAGGATCCCCCTCCCCCTCCCCCACACCCCACTCACCCACTACACCCAGGCGAGTGTGTCAGTCTATGTCGTGACGTAACCGCACCCCTCTTCCCCCACACTCCGGGGCCCTCTCTTGCTCCTCCTCCCCTCGTCCCCGCTATCACCGCCTCCCCCCCTTCCCCGTCCTCTCGCAGACAAATGTAGTGACTGCGGCTTTATCCCCCACTCCCCCCCACTCCGTTCCCTCCCTTTGGACTCCCCCTTTCCTCTACCACTAACTTCAACTTTTCCCCTTCTCTTACCCTTGGACCGTTCCATACCCTCCTCCTTTACCCCGTAAGTCGTTCTTCATTCCCTCCCCCCTTCCCCGCCGTATTATCCGTTAGCCATTCCTCATACCCCTTTCCCCTTGCTTCTCTAAGCCTTTCCCCCTTCTTTTCTTCCCCTTCCCTCCCCTCCTTCTTTTCTTTCCCTTCCCTCCCCTCCTTCTTTTCCCTTTCCCCTTCACTCTTCCCCCTCCCCCCTCTTTTACCAGTGCGCCTCTACTTGAAAAAATTGGGCAGTAAAAGCCCCGGGGTTCGGAAAGTTTCGTTTGAAGCGCGTGATAACTGCCGCGCCAACGTCCATCTGCTCCTCTGCTGGACTGTCGAACTGCCCCTCAGGAAGCAACAACCGCTACGGGATGATTGTTAATGGTTACCCATAATTAATGGCATCTTCCTTTTATTTTCAGTTAAGCGCTTGACATCGAAAATAATAAGAAAAGGCCATATCTTACATTCTCTCAGTTATCTCCGTTAGCTTGTACTTGTTAACATGCGGTTATATTTTGACCGATGGTTTTGGCCAAGTGCCATGAAAAACAATCATTCAGAATCATTACTACCAAAACAATCTTTATCACAAGGGAATTTCTTACAAGATTAATATTTGGATGCGAAGGTGAGCGATAACATCTCAACTAAAAGCATATAGGTTATGTACTGTACATTAGCCAAGCTGTTACCTGTATCGGATTGGTCAATTATCATTGAGTTTAGATAATTATTAGGTGATATTACTGGGAAATCCTGATTCACTGCTGCCAAGGATAAGTTCATTGGTATTGGATATTAAAGGGATTAGAATCTTAATTTTATGGATGCTAAACGATACGCGAATGATCTCTGTTTAATCTTGATGTTTTCCAGCGATGGAAATTATGATATTGATATAATTCATACGTTTTATTATGTATTTTTCTCTGTCTAAACATTTGTACATTCATGTTGCTTTCGTGCATTTCAGACACTATGTAAGTTTAATATCTTGCACCAAGAATTTAGCCAGGCGTGAACGCACTTGCGGACGTAGAAGTAGCCTGAAACGTGACAAGAAAACGTTACGGCGAGAAAAGGATTTTTCAATTCTGTTATCATTTCTTTTT